GCTAACAAAATTAGCCTTCCTCAAGGCTAGAGCTATACCGAGAGAAAATATCTTTTAACGACTCCTAGAATTTGAATTTAAAATTCACTTAAGTGGTTAATAATAATTGTCGTTTTTTATGCCATGAATATCTCACTCATTTTGTTTGTGTTTTTGAAGGTTCGCACAAGACAGGGTGAACTTTTCTCTTAATTCAGACGATCCTCTTGTATGTCATACCACTAAAGATCTTGAGGAAAAGATTGCTATTAATAAAATTGGACTGAGTCCTGCAGAAATAACGCGCGCGGTAAGTCTTGCTTTATTTTGCTGTTTAACAAACATTTTGCAAAATTGGACGTTTCTAAAAGAACTATAATGAGTTCAGGATACGTTGAATTTTAAATCTTAGTTTTGGCTCGTTTGTTGAAGGCACTGTTGCCTTCTAGGCCAAATAAAACTTAATTATTAACACATTGGACTAGAACGCGCAATACCATTTCAACTAGAGGATGGTACTGGTCCGTGGCGGGTCCAGGGGCCCGTTCCTCGATAGTCCCGGTAACTTTACGGGCCCGAAATCAAATATTCAAATCGAAATATAAAGAATAAGAGCGCGGGTCCTGGCTAGAAAACAACTCCATTTTGTTTCATCAACTGACAGTTTTATCATGTTAGATGCAAAACTATTGAAACCTCGATCTTTAATATAAACGGAGACAGCTTACCGGGCCCGTTAATTATCGGGACTTTCGAGAAAGGGCTCCTGGCCTTCAGATAAGGGGGGCCGTCACCCAGACCCTGTGATAAGGGGTGGGGAAGCGGTCTTCAAAATTTTTTTTTTCGACCCTTCGGGCCTCAGTTTGGTCTAAAAATAAGGGGGACCCGGGCCCCCGGGCCCCTCCCCTAGATCCGTCACTACTGGTAAAGAGAGTTACAACTGACTTTTTTTGGATAATAAACGTGTATCCACACTTGGTGCACGAGCACTAGTGCCTGGCTACCGGCACAAAATGGTGTTGTGTTCACACCTTGATTACCTGATTGTGTAATTGTGTAAATTATTTGCTTCATTTTGCCTGAGTTGTCCTCAGTCGTCTCTATCTACATTTGGATGCAGCAACGGAACGCGTTCCTGCATCCGTCGGAACGGAACGCGTCGGAACGGAACGCGTTCCGACGCGCTCCCTCGCGCTTGCGCGAGGGGTGACTATGGTGAACTAAAGGGAGAGACTCCCATCACCCCTCGCGCTCTTGACCTTGTTCCTCTCGTAAATATTGATATAGACTGTTTACAGATCCCTATTTTTTTCGTAAGATCGTCACGATCGAGCTCCTATCGGTAGGGGCGGCCATCTTGGTTTCATATCGATTTGACACTCATCCAAGACGGCCGCCAGCAAAACAAAAAGCCTTTGATCTCGACGATCTTACGGAAAAATAGGGGACTGTGAACAATCTAATATTGATAGGAGACTAAGAGAAGACTGGGAATGAGTCAGTCATTTCGCGCTGTCAGACGCCATTTTGAAACGTGATCGTGGCAGGAAGCGATGGGTATGCAAAGCCCAACATTTTAGTCGTAGCTGCTTTGCCCACTGGGATACAAAAATTCAAACATTAAATACAATAAATAAAGAAATGAAATTTGTTTTATTTGCCCATTCAGATCAAAACGCAGCCTATAAAAGAAATAGTTCACCCAAAGTTAAAGCGAAGGAAAAAAAAGGAGCAAAACTGTCCTCCCCTTTTAACCTAAATATCCCAATCCCTAAGGTGTTGCTTAAAGGAGCTGTGTCACGAAATTCAGCCAAATTAGAAAATTACAAAAGGCCCGTTAAATTAAGAGAAACGTAAAAATAACCGCTTAAAACTTTAAAGGAAGGTTAAAATGACATAACAGAAACAACAGATGCCACCGATAGGCAAAACTGAAGAAGATTGAAACGGATTGAAATAAGGGTTTTTGAAAACTGATCAGCCTAACAGCTTTTCAAAGTTGATCCCTGCTGCTTGTAACTTCAAAAATAATTCTCAGGAGACATATTTGTTTGTCTCGGATCTCTGATTTTGTCATTTACCTGTAATTTCTTTGCTTACTCTATGTTCCATAGCGATTGAGGGCGAGTAATTGGCAAAATTAAACAAAGTGAACTGGACGGCCGTGACACAGCCCCTTTAATGCAAGACCCTCTTATGCAGGGACCTCAGCAGCTGATCATATCCTAGCTTAAGTTCCAGAATATATTACATAGGTACTCACTTCTACAGGCTCTAGTCAAATTTAATCAGAGGGTGCCTTAGAAGTTATTTTTCTTTCTGTATTTTTTCAGACATTTAACGCTGCAAGGGCCTCCTTTCTTCCCGAGAATGAAAAACAAGAACTTATCGACCAACTCAAATTAGTACATGGAATTCAGTAACTGTTTTATAGAATCTAGTTGGTGTAAATTGGTATATTTTTTCCGAGATAACTAGCGAGCGAAACAAGCGAATATCCTCATAAATCGCCTTCCGCGATGGCAAAATATTGTACCGGTCTTTGAAAAGAAACTAAAGTTCCTGCTGATCTCAAAAATACTGATGACAATCAGAGGAAGATTAGGGAGGGTGGAAAGTTCGATCTGTGGGGCTTTCGTCGACAACTTACCCTGTTCAGCGCGGTCAAACAAGAGAATTAATTTTGCAGAAGCAAAGCAAATTACTTCAATGCTAAAGTTACAAGTTAATTGCACTATTCAAAGTATAATATATATTGAATATGCTGTCAATTTACTGAATGGTGAATGAAATCCTAGTAAGTCCCACTTTGACCGTGATGGACCTTCCCTGCCCCTCTTCCCGCCTTCCATATGATTTCGGTTCCGCCTACAAGCAACATGTCCCACGGATTCGCGCACGGTCATACTAAAGGTTTCGTGTATTATATCTCAAAAGAGCACGCTCGCGTGAGCGTTATGGCAATCATGTCAGATTGGAGAAGGGCTGTTTCATCCATACTATCCAGCTAATGGGGTTTTCGTTTTTTTTAACAAAAAAGTCAAAACAAATTTTCGCCACAGTATAAACTGACCTTGATGAAATATTTGTAAAATTTGATTATTATTTTTATCAAAATCAATGTGTCTTTTTTAAAAATGTACATTGGTCACAACAGAAAACAATGGAATGAACATATAATAATACTCATTTGTAAAATAGATTTTGTGAAATCTCTCAACCGCGTGGTTTGATAAGACAGATGATTCTGGAAACAATTCTGCTTAGACCAGCAAAAAAGAAATGAATTTGAGTTGGGCCACGTAACACGTTGTATAGTGATGCCTTCTAACTCGAAGGAAAATGAAATGGTGATTTTCGCTCTCGAGTTCAAAAAAGCAACGCGACAAAGGTGGCGACGGCGCGTGCAGTATTAAGGTCTATGTTTACACTATATCCGGATAGCTTCTCATGTGGACGTGAAAAATACCCCGGTATAGCAGTAACACCGGCCTGTTCACACTGCGCCGAAGAGTGCCATAGAAACATAATCCAATATGTGACGATCGATTTTCAAGATGGGTGCGGCTCAGCTTCGCTCCGCCGCAAAAATCCGCTCGGAAATCACTGTTCGTAAGTGTGAATAGAAGCCATATCAGGTATGGTTGTCGTAACGGTACGTGCAAGAGTCATCCCGTATAGTGAAGACAGTCTTAAAACTGTGATTTGTTCTGTTGTAAAGCACGCAGGAACTGGCTAAAGCACGAAAGACGTGTCAAGGGAAACACGAGACGTGGCTTCCTTAATGCTTTTCAACAGAACAGAAGACAGCCAGGACTTCTTTATCTGTTTTATGATAAAGAATCCGTTAAGTTCCCTACGCATTACTTACTCTTCTTCAACCAATCAGTATTGTATTTTAAAAACAGGGAAAAGGAATAGAGTTCATATTTATGGCGGTTTAATTGGTTTTATTTGTTTAATTAAAATAAATATTTCACATTTCTGCTACTAAATAATCCATCAACGTCGATTCGTCACAGAGTACCCTTGGGCCACCTGCAATGTTTTTGAGCAATTGCGACGGCAATGAATACTTAACTTGTAAAGAGATTGGCACTCTTTTAAGCTTATTCCCAATTATTTCGACTCGCCCAATTTGCCAAATGTGGGCAAATTTTCCTGGAAATGAGTTATTAAAAAAATGGTAATAATAAAAAAATGCGTTATTTAAATTTCCCAATGTGCGGTTGGCTGGCTCCAGACTTACGAAACCGTCATCAGCTTAGACCACTTTAAGAATTGTGCTCCTTACAACAACAGGCTATATATTGTAAAGGAACTATACTTAACAGTGCTTAAGACGCCTTAGAAAAGTGTTTCCGTTATAACAAAATGATGGATCATACCTTTGCCAGTTACGATTCTAGCTCCGGCCCCCTGCTGCAAGCTTGGATGGGACAAACCTTTCCATACGCAGATTTAAGCTCGTCGCTATAGAAATGTTCAAGGTGTACGACAATGTGGCACCTAAATACCTGTGCCAAAAATTTTTTGAAACGGGTTCACCTATGATACTAGTTAGGGCCTCTTCTTCTCGATTTCAATTCCCTCTTCCCAAAACTAATTATGGCAAAAAAAGCATTTTGGCTATAGGAGCGTATTTGTTTGGAACAAATTGCCCGAGGATTTGCGTGAATGCAAATCTATGAACTTATTTAAATCTAAATTGGACCGCTTGCTTCCCAGCTTCTTTGATTCCTTACTGTAATCATAGTTTAGAATATTTTATCAAAGGTTAATAGCTAGATAGATATATCAGTTTTTTTAACAAGGCTTTCATGTGTATCAGCTTTAGCTGATAAAACTACCGTGTCTAAATAAAACATCTATCTTTCCATGGCCTATACATCTATCTATCCATGGGATTTACATCTTTCTGGCATAATTTTCTGCAATATTCTTGCAGTTTGTGAACTATAGGATTTCCAGAAGGCCAGTAGTCATAAGCAAAAAGCACACTCACGTTTTAATTGTCATAATTAAAACCAAAGTTCTTTAACAAGGGTGGTTTCAAATTGAGGTGCTTGTTTAAATTTGCGGGCATTTTCTGTTGATTCCTTTTCGCTGACTCTTTTGATTACTTTGGTCAGGAGGTTAACGAGGTGGTCGTGAGCAACATGCTCTCGGAAAACTTTCACAAGTACGCGAACAAAATTACTTCCTAGGTTGGGATATCTATATGACACGTATCCCTCAACTGTTGAGTACGCAGTCAGGAAATCTGTTTCGCCAGCTATCCTCTCCGGAGAGGGACTTTTCGTTTGATCAATGGGCGAATCAGGAGAGGGAGAAGGCATTTGAACAGAGGGCGAACCACATGCGTTAGTCACGAGGTTAACCCCTTCGTCCTCTTTATCCCCTCTGCATGCTTGGACAAAAAGGAGCTTTGGTTTTCCCCTTAGTGTTGCACAGCTGGCGTTGGAAAGCATATCTTTTATTGTCTGGATTGGCAACGGAACACCATCAGAGCCAAACACTTCGCCACTCCTTCCATGACTCATGAGCCAGAGCACGAAACAATCGTAGTCACTGTGGTCCTTTCCGTACGCAAAAAAATCTACCTCGTCCAACATCTCTTTTTTGGTCCGATTCTGACTAACGTGTACTTCAAATCCCAGAGCGCTGAACATTTCTTTAACTTGATGGACATCTTCCTCTGAGCCGTGGCGTGGTGCTTGTCTGCCATGTTCAGTATTATCTGCAAACATCTTGTTATTAATTATCAGTGCAATCCCTCTTGGAAGAGCAGTCATTTTGTAGACAAAGTCTGTTTCAGGGTGGTGACCTGGGCGAACGGCTAAGTAAAAAAAAGAAAAAGAATGTTCATAAAATTGATGTTCCAAAACGGGGAGCAAAGCAGGACACGTTTCCTGGTTGCTGATTGGTTTTGGACCGCGGTTCATGCTTTAAGATTGCCATATAATCTTGTGCCCTTTTCCTTACACGCCGATGTTGTGTAAACAGGCCACAAATCGGTAGCAATGTTTTTCATTGTAGATTTTCCTCGATAGGGTAACATAACCTAAAAGAATAACTTGTGGTGGGATTTTTTTTAGCAAGTTTAATAAAATTTGTCTTCCGACAAAAGCAGGAAAATTTCACTCTTGAATACGACATTACAAGTGTTTCCCCTACAATTGCAACTTAACAACTTAAATCACACGTCCGTCTTTGTATCTGGACTTTGAAGGAGGACGAGGGTGCGACTCTCTCAATCTGTTGTAACTGCTTTTGTTAAACCAAGACAGTGCTACAGCAAAAAGGACCCGATACCTAGGTAAACCATTGACCAAGAATCGAGTATATGTTCCTTGTGGTACAGACTCACATCCAAATTCGATTTGGTTATCATTATATGTTGGAGTGTTGTTTACTGATGGACCGATGGCGAACATCATTATTAAAATATTGCGACATTTTGGGCGTCTCTATTTTCTTTTTTTTTGCGGGGGGGGGGGGGGGGATTTAAGAAATTTTTGGGGGGGGGGGGGCCGGGGGGGCCCTGGAACCCTTACCCAAAACCCAGGCTGTTTCAGAGGAACCCCGCTCCCCCTACCTCCACTAAACTTCCCAAACCCCCACTCCCCTCAAGCAGATTTTTTGCTGATGGTGTGTTGACTAATGTTTTTTTTTATTGTGTTGGGTTTTTGGTGGTTTTGTTTTTTTTTTTTGTTGGGGGGGGGGGGGGGGAGTACTTAAGGAATTTCTGGGTGGGGATGTGCCGCTGGGACCCTGGAACCCTTAGCCAATACCAGAGCTAGTTCAGACGAACTCCGCTTCCCTATACTACACTAAACTTCCCAAATCCCCCCTATCCTAGAGTAGCTTTTAGGCTGAGTCGTGTCGATTTAAACTTGCGATTTGATATTTTATATTTTGGAGTGGCAATTACCGGTTTCCCTAGTCTAAACTAAAATCTTCAACCAATTGATCAGTTTCCTGGAAAATGACACCCTACTCTAGACCCAGAGTCTCTGATTTGTATACCCAATCGCAAAGTAAACTGCTTGAAAACCATACCCTTTACAGCGGGATATGCCTGTATAGCCCCATATATGGTAGTAATGTACTTGCTTTTAGGGGAGCAGTTTTATATCACCAAAGCAAGTTATTCATGGTGAAGACGATCTTAAAGAGCAATATCCGAGGGTTTTGGGGAAATGAAAGTAATTTCAGGTGGTTACAGAAAGGTTGTCCTCACCTTTGATTGGAAACCATTTTTCCAGTCCTGGAACATTTTTAGTTTTATTCTCGAAGCTCTTTCGGCAGATATCGATTTGCCCGTCTTGCAGAATTTTGAGAAGGCACAAACAATCATCGTGCCTACATGCCACTTTGCCGTGGCTATCACAAATGCTGTCCTCTCCGGAGCAGTCGGTACATGCGACGCACCAATGATATTCCAAACTGGTCAAGTAGGGCCACTCATCCAACAAAGAAGTCATAGTCTGTTTTAGAAATCTCCACACGAGAGCAGTCATTTCTTCAATTTCTGTCAGTGGAGGCCCTTGACCCTGCGGTGTTTTAAAAGGACGTAGGAGAAACTTGATGAAGCTTTTCATTCTAACACAGATTAGCCGGTGGCGGAAATCCTTTGACAGCATTGTAAAGTTGGCTACCCCATCAAAGAGGCAGGGCTCTTCCTTGAATTCAATGTTGGAACACCATGTCATACAACGCGATACAAGTTGCGTAAAAAGCCCGTGTGGAACAAATCCAGATGGAAACTGAAGATATAACGGGCATGGGTCTGCCAGCTCCGGTTTCAAATGGCATTTTCCAGTTGGTAAACGTAGTTGCGCTGGAACAAAGTACTTCACATCATGTATAGGAAATGCATACTTAGCAATCAAACCAAACTGTTCCATCAAGTGTAAGATGTTTTCTTTGGCAAAACTTTGCAGACAAAATTTGGAAAACACGTGATCGACGATTTCCATTGAAAGAACACCTGTTTTCTCCATTCTTTCCCACAGGTGGGAATGTTTGGATTTCTGTGAAAAGGGAACGAATATGTTACCAACAAAAAAAATACAGACGTGGTGTTCTTAAATTTAAAAAGCTCCCCAATCGCGCGCATCCTCAAAATATGAATTAAAAGCACCTTTTGTCTGCTGATTGAAATATTGTTCCTTTAAATGACCTTAAGTAAGCTCATGGTTCGGACTTCGGCTTGGTCGAAGCAGCGTCGGCGACTTTGCTCGAAGAAATTACACAATGCACTAACGCTTTGGTGTTGTAAACGGGATACAAAAGTACTTACATCGTATAACAAAACAAAAACGTTTACAATTCTCACGCTTAATAATGAAACAGTAGGAATTCAAGTTATTTTCAGTGAAACTTCGCACAGTCTCTACGGTTAATAACTAGTCTATTTGATCTGGTAAATGAGAAACTCCCTTTGAAAGTTCATTCCTCTCGTGGCGTCGTCCGTTCAGTTCACAATGTTTCATAAGAGTGCTCAATGTGGACGTCAGTGAGGCTATACAATCTACTCTGTCGCGTAGTGTTACGAAGATAAGTTTCCAGTATTGAACTTATCACTTTATCAAAAATTTATAGAGATATAGAGATCTCAGTTTCCCAGCTCACAATGGACGCCACGAAAAAGAATCAATGAAGGTACTGGAATGAAGAGTGAATAACGTGCAGGTATCGACACCATGGACGCATCTAGATTTGACATGTGCGCATTTAGATTGACATTTGAAAACGACTGTCGTGGTTTCAGTACTCTTTGTTTTGACTTTCTTTTTGTTTTTTAGTCTTGTCTTAAGTGCTGCTTCCCAAAGAATAGAGCGTTTTTTGAGGGATCTCGTCCCCCTTACCCCGTAAGCCTGTGGCGAATAAGCTGTGTGGTAGCGAATTTCTGCGATGTTGCATAACTTTAATGTAACCCAACGTAACCATAAATTATTCATAGTAATAAATACCACGGAAATAATCACTTATCCGAAAAGTTTTACTTTTTAATTACCATATCGTTGAAATGACGGATGGTTATAAGTTGCCTGAAAATGTCAATCAGCCATTGTGGTTGCAGTATAACTGTGTTTTGGTGTTTGACAATGTTGCCAAGGTCATGATAAAAATCCAGCATGGTATCCATCTCCTTCTCGTCTTCGATGAAGCAAAAGTTCCGAACATAGGTTCGTAGATCATTTAGGTCCATGTAATGCATGTTCGCTGCAACCAAGTGTTTAATCACCTTCTCAAAATTAAACCATCTGCAGAATAAACGAAGTTATGACAGAAAAAGGTAAGAAGGGTAAGAGCGTCAAAAATATCTAAGCTGAGGTTATTTTTTAGTCGTAATAACGTCATTTTGACTTGTCCGTCGGTTAGGTTTAGCTTCAAATTAAACGGCCTTCTGAATGAAATTGAAACAATATAACACACATCATGAAGGTCATTACCGTAGATAAATTTTAAAAGGTGCACATGTCTTAAAAAGTTTTTTAAATAGGATGAAGCGTAAACAAGAGACAGGGGCAGTAGAACGAGCACGGGTAAAGGTTTGGCGAAAATTCAAGAATGTTCAAAGAGGCCTTTTTTAAAGTGACGATTTTGACAGAAAATGGCGAACATGGTGAAATTGGCGTTAAAGGAAAATTTAACTACAAATTCCAAGGGGGGGGGGGGGGTTGGCTGGGGCCTCGAAAAGAGGCGATAAGATTAAACGAATATTCTTACTACTTGTCCCCTTGAAAAGTAGCCTGCGAGCAAGCTCTCCGGGGCGCTCTAGCGGCGGGACGCGAAAAGGAAGGAGAGCTTGCAATTAAGTCTCTGGAATTTTAATGTCTGCATCGGAAAAGCCGACGCGAAATACTGATTGGTGCATATGACATTAATAATGACGTCATCACTCTTTACGCAGTGGTTTTCAATGCTTGTTTACATTCGCGATCGTTTCCGCTTCCCGCTGATAGGCGGAAATCTGACAGCTTAGTTGAAGAGGAGCCACAGGTGAATTGGAGGCAGGATTCAAATTGGTCGCAGGCTACTTCAAGAATTGGCCAGTCTGACAAATTTTGCGAAAATGGTGATTTGAAGAAAGATTGCCTAACTGGTTTAAAGAGAATTCTAATAACATGTCCAAAGGGCCCCCGAATTTGACGAAATGACGAACATGATGGAAATGGCGATTTGGCAATAATTGGCCAAAGGTTTAACGAAAATTCTAATCACGTTTCCAAAGGGGCCTCTTGAAAACTGGCGATTCTAACGGAAATTGCGTGGCATAGAAGATCTCCCGACTCATAACAAAGAGGGATGGGAGTAAGGGGAAAACTTTTTTCCGAAGAGATGTAACCACTGATGGTGAAAGCAAGAGGGAGCGAATGCGGGAATGCTTGCTCCTTTTTACGAACACTCCGTTAGAACGAAGTAAAAGATTGGCTCTTGAAAGAGAGGCTACATTGATGGAGTCGGAAGACCAACCTTGTAGACCAAAAAGGTATATTGTATCGACATAAATAACATTATGCCTTAACAAAATGTTTTGTTTTCGTCAAAATAGCCCTTCGTAACCTTCCAGCAATTTTTTTTTTGCCAGACTCCCCTTTTTTGTCGTTGCTGGCTGGTTTTCACTATTCATGCCATTTTTGTCATAATCGCTTATCTTCAAGGGATCACATTTGGCATCCAAACCTAATATTTGTCAGATTCGCCACTTTCATCAACGTTTCTACTTAACAAGAATACCTTTTGTAATGTCATTTACATTTTCGTCAGCCAAAATCGCCAGATTCAACATTTTCGCCACTGCGTACATTTCTGGACATAAGTGTATATCTCAGAGATGTGAGACTAGCAGCCATTTGATGTAAAAAGGCGGTTTCTCGTCCAAGTCGGCTCAATATTTTTCAAACTGGTTGTAACGTTCAAGATCATCCAAGAAGAAAAAGTACTCAAAACTTTCACATTATAACACAGGATGAAACTGCTTTAGAGTAATGTTTTATGGCAAAACTTACCGAAGAGGCAACTCCTCTCCCATGTACGGCTCCTGCTTTAGCACCTCCATTATTTTGTCTTTGAGATCGACGAGCTGCTTTTCGTCTGAACCTGACTTGTTAGAAATTGCAAAGAAAGGACGAATCACTTGCTTTGCAAAGCTTTTTCCTGAAATCGCTTTTTGGATCTGTGATTCAATGTCCTTGATATTACTTTTATATGGTTCATCAGCATGCGTTCCTACAATGAATACCGGAGGACGCAGGTATTCGAGCTCCCTCTCTTTCTTTGTATCAGCGTTATTTTGTTTTGAACACATAGTACTTACTGAAGCAAGCCATGACATGAGGTTGTCTAAATTTGTCTCAGAATATGCGTTTCTTAGAGGTACTTCGCGACCTCCTTGTTTAAAAGAGGGTTGTGCCTCCTCTTCAAGTGGCTTGTTCAAATTGTAGACCAACAGATAAATTGCTCTTTTCGTCAAAAACACAGGATATGAAGCATAATAAAGACGTTGCCCTGCAAAGTCCCATAGATCTAGCGTCGTGTGATGTTTGGTTTCTTTCGCATCTTTTTTCAGATTTAATCCCTTTAAATGCTGAACAAGTATTTCTGTGAAGTCTTCTGGGGGACGGGCTGGATCAATCTTCAAATTGGGTACGGGAATTGTCGGTTCTGTTGTCATTATTTCTGTTACGTCTTCTGGAGGAGAGGCTCCTTCGATATTCACGTCGGGTATGCCATTCGTAGGTTCTTCAATCACATTTTCCAAATTTTTAGGTATGTGAGAATGAAATCCAGCTCCTTCGGTGTCTTGCTTCTTTGTTTGTATGGAAATATTCTAAATATATGAAGAAAGAATTACTAGGAAGTGGAAAAGGGTAAATAAAACATTTGGCAAAACTATCATGTTAGTTGTTAAAAGAGCTACTTTCCTATAGCACAGACGTAAATGCAGTGAAAGGAACCGGCAGAATGTCATTTGCATGAATTAAAACTTGCACAGTTATGTTACCGTCTAGTGATTCTAGGTTTAATACGTACTCCTTCCTTGAAAAAAAGAAATAACCAATCATCTATGAAAAAATAGTTAAGAACCTGAAACTCTTCAACCGGTTATAATAAACAACCTAAAATACCACCCGACGACAGTTAAGTAGTAAAAATACTGATTACAATCATGAGATAAAGAAAAAAGGTGATGACATCATCGGCGTTAACGTATTCTATTTCCACTGCAAAAAACGGCCTCAACGGTGTGCCCTATACTACTATCTAGACCCTACTGTATCACTGTTCATTAGTCAAATGTGATAGATAATTTTAGGGTTTTTTTGACAGCGTTTGCCAGCATATTGGTATTGTTAATTTCGGAAATTTTGGCAAAATAAGCGAGCAGTTATTGATGGAGTGAGTATCCTTCAAGTGTGAAGTTTTATAGATCAGGCTTCTTACTTCCATTGTTTTAGGGTAGACGCTTAGTAAACAGGCCCCAGTAGTTCAAATAAAGGTGGATTAAGCTATTCACTGGATAATTCGCCAGAGAATGACGCAATTGCTTAACCTAATACTTATTTAACTGGATATTGATCAATCCAGTTGATAGTGCTATCCAAAGATTGAACAACAGAGGCCAATGCGAACTACGTTAATAAGCTAAACTAGTTTTTGCGGGGTGATTGTAAGGACATTTTGCTAACCCTATTCTCTAGATCTTGTCCTTCATGGTTCGCGTTGATTTTCTGTTCCTGAAGTTCTGCTGCAACTATCTTTGCAAGCTTGTTGACAAAATGAGAGACATCGGGCTTTTGACTGCTGATCGTCCAATTCGTGGCCTGATCGACGTCATATTCAAATATTGATGGGTCAACTTCTACCCCGTCTGTACTCTCTTCATCTGGGTCAAATGGCAGGCCAAGGAGATGTTTTTTTAAACTCGTCTTCCCCGCTCGATCTTGGCCGATGAGCATGATTCGACCACGATATACCTTTACCTTTCCATTCTTCAAAGCATTTTCATAAGCACGTTTCGCCTCGGGTCCTCGAGCTATGATTTCACTCGGTACTATTAGAAACAAAACAAAAAATCTGAGACAAAGAAGGAAATGGCTAAAAGTATCTTCTTTTTTACTTCATCGCGTATGACATTTCCGCTTTAGAATGTAGTTGGGTATCAATAAGTGTTCTTGAACTGCTATTCGCATCGTAGTTTTAGCTAGTGCAAGTTTTAATCGTTTTATTAGCTTTTTTTGCGCTTTAGAGATCAAGAAAGAAGGCAACATAAGCGCAGAACTGGTACCAACGTGGAGCTTCTCCACGCAAACGTAATTTATCTCCTTGTACTCTTTTGCCGGCAAGCGCACTGAAGGAAAAAGACTTTAAGGTGGCTAGTTTCTTATGTATTCTTTAGGGGGACACCTCTTTATAGAGCTGTGTCACCGGTGGCGCATGCGCGAGCCAGTGCAAACAAAGTTGAGAAAGGTGGCACAACTTTTTCAAGTTCTGTCAGAGATTATGAAAGGCTGTTTTTATCTGTTTAAATCTCAGCCATCGTTTGATAGTTAGCGAAGTTTTGTATCGTCCTATGGTGATTACAGAAGACATTTTTTGCTTTATTTTGGGAATTTTTTGCTCTTGGAATTTTTTCTACATGGACTTACAGTGTCCTCTTATCAGCGGCCGTTCTACTGGAAGAATTGTGGCTACTCCACGATGAGTGATGGAATCTTAACTGGAACTTTCCTTATACTTCACAAAACCTTTTTGCTGAGTTGTTTTAAAGGGGGCTGGCTCTTGAATTTTTTTCCGTGCTCAAAGTATGCGAACATATAATGAAACGGCTATCGAGTTGGTGGCGGCTGATTTGGTGTTTAAACGATTACAACAGCATGGCCATGAGTTTCATGACCGAACTAATCTTCTGGCAAAAGAAACGTTAGAGAATTCGGCAATATTCCTTCTTGTATTTTATCTTGATTCACGGTAACGATTAACACGACCGTTTGCTGGTCCAGCTTATTCCCAACGGACTTTGAGAGGCACCAATATGAGTAAGATTCTGTAAATGCCATGTTTTTGAAATGTTTTTAATTTGTTCAAGCATAGTTTTGGAAAACAGCGAGTTTTATTCACGGACTGCTTACAGTGGAGTCGTAAACCTGTAATACTTGGTTCTGTTTTTCTGAACTTCGCAGTGATTCTACACGATCGAGCAATTTTGCGCGCCGATCAATGTGTGTTTCCCTGAGATCAAAACAAAGACATCAAAAACAGCGTCTCTGATTCCGTCAGCACCTAAATTATAAAATCAGTAGCGACAGACAAGTCTAGTTGTTAATGATTTGAAACAGTCTTGGTCTTTATATTTGATCTAGAGTCTTTTGTAGTCTTTGCTCAAGTGAGGTCATTGCATCATGCGATAGATAGACAGCTAGGCATCTTAAGTGACCGAGTTCCCTGAATTTAGAACAGATCCTAATGCATAATGATTGGCACGTTATAATTTGTTGATCAATGTTCGCCAAATCCTCAGAAGCAGGGGAGAATAGTATTCAAAGTTCGGTAGCACCTGGCCTTTGTATAAGGTGATCATCATATTTGAAGGAACTAATCGCTTTATTTTACGCAAAGCCGCAATTTTAGCATATTAAGCGTTTTTAGCATAATGTCCACAAGAGGCACATAAGACAGGTCCTTGTCCAAACTGACGCCAAGAATTTTAAGAGTAGCCTCAATGCCAGTGATCTGCTCCTCCACTAATAAGCGGTATGTGATCTGGGATTTGCCTAGAGTCATTGCTTGAGTCTCAGCTGCATTGACTTGAAGATGGTTAACGGAGAATCGTTGAGTCAGTTTTATATTAACATTATGATTCAAGGAAGATTCACGAACAACAGGAGACACGTTATGGACACTTTGGGTTGTGCCATCTGCGTATAGACAAAGTGCCAACTAACTGTAGAATTAACATCATTAATGAAAATATTGAAAAAAGGGGGGCTAACAGGCTGCCTTGAGGAACTCCACACCGAACAGGTAGCCACTCAGAAGAACTCCCATTACATTTCATTCTTTGGAAAAGGCCAGTGAAATACAACTGCATGAATGAGCCTAATCAAGAGAGAATGAGCTAGCTCTTTATCTCTTGGCCTAATGACAGACTCCTGACAGCCATATGCTCGTAACTTAGCAGTTATTAGATTATGGCATATTGAGTCAAATGCTTTTGAGAAATCAGTTGCAATCACGACTACATCCTTTTTCAAGTCTAGGGCTTGGCGCCAGTCTTCCGTTAGTTTGAACAAGGCAGTACAACATGAATGGCCGCGAAGAAAACCAGACATATTTTTCGAGAATAGAGGTGAGAAATGCATGCCGATACAAATGGTCAATTTTCAGCTGTTCGAAGACCTTAGGGAATGATTGAAAGGACGCTGTTGGGGCAATAATTGGACTTAAGTGTTTCATCCTCTTTCTTGTAGACAGTTGTCACATTAGAAAGTTTCCATTAACTAGGCCACACACATGGGGTGATACACTGATTAAATAGCTTTGTAAGAATAACAGGGGCTGAAAGCTTAAGCAATTTTGGCGATAATCCATCTGGGCCAGAAGATTTCATACTGTTCAAATTAGCAAGAGATTCAGCAAACACGAGATATACTGACCGGGTCGAATGAAAAGTCGATCTTGAGCGCGCTCTTCTTGATGGCTAAGACACTTGGGTGATTCGTGAAATGTACAGTCATTCAAAGAGAGTTGTAGAACACACTCGTCAATTAAAGGTGTTGAGAACTATTTGTTGAACAGTGCTATCATATTTATTGCATTGGACCTTTCGTTGCAAAACATGAAGCTATTAACTATGCTTAAACAGAACAAATGTTTTAAAAACAAATTTCGTTACCTGTTCTTTCACTTGAAAATCTTGCCTCTTCTGCTGCTCTATTTAAGGTTTGAACATCATTTTCTTGATATGGTTCTAAGGTCAGTTGGCCAGGATCTTGTTCTTGCAAATTTGTCAGGCTCTGGCTCTCTGGTAAACCTGGTGAAATACAAGCACACCCAAATAGCAAGAGAATTTATCATGTTAACCCTTTTCAGACCAGACAAGGACTTTTGAGGTCTCCCAAGAGGAACAAATGTTTTAAAAACAAATGTCATTACCTGTTCTTTCACTTGAAAATCTTTCCTCTTCTGCTGCCTGGTTTAAGGTTTGATCATCATTTTCTTGACATGATTCTAAAGTCAGTTGGCCAGGATCTTGTTCTAGCAAATTTGTTAGGCTCTGGCTCTCGGGTAAAGCTGCTGAAATACAAGAACACGCAGATGGCAACAGAATCAAACATGTGAAAATGAAATGATCAGCATGTCACAAGCGTGGGACAAAGAAAAAATCTGATACCCCGACAGGACTCGAACCTATGACCTCCCAAACGGCGGATGGGCGCTCTATCCACTTGAGCTACGGAGAAGCAACCTTTATTGAAACAGGTGTTTGGCCTCGCTCTCCACGAGTTCTTTGTAGCTCAAGTGGATAGAGCGCCCGCCCGGTGTTTGGGAGGTGATAGGTTCGAATCCTGTCGGGGACTCAGATTTTTTTTTTGTCTCACGCTCGTGGCATGCTGATCATTTCATTTTCCCATTTGTGTCACCGAGTTTAAAAAATTACCATCTTTAATTCTTTCACCAGAATTAACCATGTTAACCTTTTTCAGACCGGAGGCGATGATGACTTTTGTGGTTCAGCAATAACAGGGGCTGGACAATTTTGGTCATAATCCACCTGGACCAGCAGATGTAGATTTCATAGTGTTCAAATTAGCAAGAGATTCAGCAAACACGAGATATACTGACCGGGTCGAATGAAAAGTCGATCTTGAGCGCGCTCTTCTTGATGGCTAAGACACTTGGGTGATTCGTGAAATGTACAGTCATCCAAAGAGAGTTGTAGAACACACTCGTCAATTAAAGGTGTTGAGAACTATTTGTTGAACAGTGCTATCATATTTATTGCATTGGACCTTTCGTTGCAAAACATGAAGCTATTAACTATGTTTAAACAGAAAAAATGTTTTAAAAACAAATTTCGTTACCTGCTCTTTCACTTGAAAATCTTGCCTCTTCTGCTGCTCTACTTAAGGTTTGGACATCATTTTCTTGATATGGTTCTAAGGTCAGTTGGCCAGGATCTTGTTCTTGCAAATTTGTCAGGCTCTGGCTCTCTGGTAAACCTGGTGAAATACAAGCACACCCAAATAGCAACAGAATTAATCATGTTAACCCTTTTCAGACCGGAAAAGAACTTTTGAGGTCTCCCAAGAAGAACAAAGGTTTTAAAAACAAATGTCATTACCTGTTCTTTCACTTGAAAATCTTTCCTCTTCTGCTGCCTGGTTTAAGGTTTGATCATCATTCTCTTGACATGATTCTAAGGTCAGTTGGCCAGGATCTTGTTCTAGCAAATTTGTTAGGCTCTGGCTCTCGGGTAAACCTGGTGAAATACAAGTACACCTAGATGACAACAGAATTAACCCTGTTAACCCTATTCAGACCGGACGAGGGCTTTTGAGGTCTCGCAAAACGTAAATTTTAAAAGCGTTCCAGCTATGACCGCCAAATTGAGCGAAGTTTCCAAAAATTTAACTAAGAATATTTTCTAGTCGTCTTGACGTTACCATGGCAACCGAGTTTTGACAGCTATTTTCTATAACAATTATACTTTACTTAGTTATTTCATAACAATTAATTCAGTTTTATCTTATGACGTTTATTATAACTGTCAATGTAATCCAGGCTGGTGAAAAATCTGAGGGAAAAAAAAGAATTTAAAATGACCAAATGGCAGACGCTGTTTCAATTATCAACAGTATTAACATTCTCTTGGAATTTTATAACTTGCAGATTGTCCTGCTTACTTGATAAGCATCGTTTTAGGCACACATCAAATTTCTTGATTTTATCCAACACCTTATTTTAGCTTGCGTTATATTGTTTCTTCTAAACCTGGGCAATGAAACACGGAACTTGCACAGTATTTAAAGCTTTGACTTGTTATGTATAACGTGATGATTCCATAATGTCATCATCAGTTAAACGTGTTTTGCATATACTACTCATTACCAGTCATACACTCACACTTGGTTTACTTCCGATTCCCTCTACGCCTGCAATGTGATTATCAAGCTAACTGTTATATTTTTTAAAACTTGGTGTGAATACAACTTCGGGAAAAGGGGTACTTGAATTAATTATTGCTGGGTATGTGCCGCTGGCCTCTCAGAGGCCCCTACGCCATTATAGTCTATTAGGTGGCCAATTATAGACGCTATCTTTGTCACTTTTGGGCAAATGTAATTTTTGTGATCCCAATTTAGTCACTTTCTATTTTTGTATCTACCTTATCAATCCTTTAAATAGGTCACCCTAAAAAGACTTGAGCCATTTTTAAAATCGAATGAAGAACTCTTTACTTTTCACCTTTATGCCCCCCCTGATAGCTCGGTGAAGGAACAGAGGACCCTTTGTGATTATCTTGTGTCGTCGACTGATGCTATACGCTCAAAACATCTTGATTGTGGTGTTGTCATCCTAGGCGATTTCAACCACTTAAACATTCAAGATTTAGTTAGGAGTCACCATCTCAAGCAGGTAGTTTCTAGTCCTACTAGGCGTGATGCCATTCTAGATTTCATTAAAACGAGTTTACAATCTTTTTATAGAACACCTGACATCTCTGCTCCTCTCGGGTCATCGCACCATAATTCACTCATGTGGGCACCTAAGGACACTTATGACAATAGGAGTAACACTTGTGTAAAGCGCAGTGTGCGCCGTTATGCTGAGTCTAGTTTGAATGGTTTTGGCCTATAGGCGGGACTGAAGGAGTGGTTCCACGGGCTTGGACCCAGTCCCTCGACAAATGACCTTGCCTCATCTTTTACTGCCGACGTCATCGCCGCAGTCGACCATTTCTTTCCGGCCAATACTGTTCGATTTCATCCAACTGATAAACCCTGGATTACTGCACGTATAAAACAGCTAATTAAGAAGCGTCAGCAAGCATTTTACTCTGGTGATGCTCAGTTGTGGCGCCTTTATAGACGTAAGGTACAGTCAGAGATTAAAGCAAGGAAGAGGAAATTTTATGAGGAAAAAGTACGAAACACACGGAAAGATGATGTTCGCCAGTGGTGGCGTACTGTCAATGTGATGTCGGGAAAAACTTATAGCCAGTCCTTCTTCACCCTCGAGCGCGACGCCGTTACGCTGTCGGAAGGCGAACTTGCTGAGTCTTTTAATCAGTACTTCGCAACCGTAGCTGCTGATGTTCCACCACTTGATACGTCATGCATCCCATCATTTTTACCATCTGCTGAGGAAGTGCCTATTGTACATTCCCACGTGGTTTGCAAAAAGCTTTTGCATGTAAAAACAAACGAGGCTAAGGGGGCTGACAGCATTCCGCCTCGGATAATTAAAGAATTTGCCTACGAACTGGCCGAACCTGTCACAAAGATCTTTAACACATCGCTTTCTACCGGTGAAATCCCCATTCTGTGGAAATGTTCTAACATCATACCCATTCCGAAGGTAAAACAACCTCTCTCTTGAATGATCGAGGAAGTTGGCGAGCATATTGATAGTCGCCAATTTGGTAGTCTTAAAGGATCTTCTACCACTTGCTGTCTACTCGATCTCATCCACAACTGGCTCTCTGAGCTTAATAATCCTGGTTGTTATTTGAGAGCCTGCTTGCTTGACTTTAGCAAGGCGTTTGACAGGATCGACCATACCATCGTTATTAGGAAGCTAAATGACTTAGGGGTGCGTCGCTCTATCATACCATGGATCTACAGTTTCCTAACAGATCGGTGGCAATGTGTCAAACTAGGGCAGACCGTCTCCAATTGGCTCGCAGTGCGTGCCGGTGTCCCTCAAGGGACCAAACTGGGTCCTATACTTTTTGTAATAATGGTTAACGATTTGAAATTGGCCTCCCCGCGTTGCTCATACTGAAAGTATGTAGATGACATCACTATATCAGAATTTGCAGCGGCACGCGGGGTGTCAATTTTGCAATCTGAACTTGACAACATCAGCACTTGGGCTGCTACAAACAATATGGTTCTTAACCCCAAAAAGTGCAAGGAGATGACTTTGCGTTTTCGTAGAGTAGTGGACCATCTCCCATCAGCCTTGGCCATAGACACTAAGGCCCTTGAGTCAGTTGATGCTCATAAGGTATTGGGCGTTACAATCCAAAGTAATCTCACATGGGATTTGCACATTAATGAGGTTGTGGCTAAGGCGTCAAAGAGGCTGCATATTCTTCGTGTCCTCAAACGCGGCGGAGTACCACCTGCCGACCTACTTAAGGTTTATTTTGCGCTCATTAGGTCTGTCCTTGAATACTGTTGTCCTGTGTGGCATAATGCCTTCCCCGTCAAACTATCAGATAGCATCGAGCGAGTGCAGAAACGGGCGCTGCGCGTCATCTTTCCTGCACTGCACTACCAAGAGGCCTTAGCTACTACCGGGTGTGTATCACTTCACACAAGAAGAATGGAGTTGTGTAACAAATTATTTACAAAGATAAAAGAGCCCGAGTCCCATCTTCGCCATCTTGTTCCACCGACTCGGTCGCAGGCGCACGGCCGCTCCCTTCGCAACAAAGACAGACCATCCCTTATAAGTTGCAAAACTGAACGCTTTAAACGAAGCTTTTTTCCGGCGCTGTGCCTTTATGCTCATAGCATGTAATTTAGGAACTTATGAGAATTCAATTTATAACTTAATGTATATTTCTAGTTTCTAGTTTTTTATCTAATTTATTGTATTTTATTATATAGACACGAGTGTTTCACTGAAGAATATACCACTCGTAAAAGTCATAAAAGTTACATCCGGGACCCGAGTGGTTTATTTTCCATAATCTCACACGTGCGTTTATCCATTACGTAATTTCGGTAATTTTCCTTCGAAGTTTGTAGACGTCTTGCGTCTTTTGAATTTTACTTAAACATTTTTCAAAGTTTTGCTTATATTTTGTCATTGTAGAGCCCTATTCAGCTCAGTGTTATTTCTCAAGATTATTGTAACCAATGTCTTATATTGCTGTACTGTAAATCTGAGCCGTCACAATTACTTTTTGGCGAATTAAAATTATTTTATCGATGTCTTTTTGTCTATATAATAAAAAGAACATTACACGGCGGCTTGAAGATATGAATTTTATTTTCTCTTGGCAAAAACAATATTTTACTCACTCGCTGCGCTCGTTCGTAAAATATTGTTTTGCCACTCGAAAATAAAATTTATATCTTCGCGCCACCGTGTAATATCCTATCAGTCCATTTTGAACACGATGTAATTAGTTTAAATTGAATTTTTTAAAAATAATTATCTATATCTTTGTAAAATAATTTCTCGATTCGCTTATTTCTAAGCGCGACGATTTTATTAATAAATCAGACTTATTATACGGTACAAACATTCTGGTACGTTTGCTAACCGTAAATATGAAGAATACCTCAAAATCAAAAATGTGCAACCCCATTTATGCTACCCAATTATAGTCAATCCAGTCGAGAAAATGCGACCCCATCCAGCGGCACATCCCTATTAGCCTCTTATGAGGAATTAAACCACCCCCCTTCCTCAAGGAGTACACGTCAAGACAATTTCCAGCAACATATGAAGGGAAAAAAACAACAATCATTCAGAGAAAAGTATTTCGCTTACATATTTTGTAAAGAAACTTTTTGTTTATAAATTGATGGGCCGAAAAAAAAATAAATGTATACCTAAACTTGAACTGTTTACACTTATCAGTACCTGGATATGACTCATCTTCATCTTGACATAACATGTTCATCGTTTCTGTTGGCCATCTGTCAGGTGTAAGTTTTGCATATGACAAAGCTAGAACAACGTAAGCTTCCGCTTCCGCATCTTTATCCATCTCTTCTTTGGCAATTGTGAGCTCTTTGAGCCCGTAATATATGCTTTTTACGTACTCTCCCAGACATTTATATGACCATGCAAGAATTTTACACGCTATTCTTTTTTCTTGCCTACATCCAACACGAGCAGTCTCAAGGTACCATAGTTTGGCGTTTTTTATGCTCTCCAGGTATTCCTCTTTTCGATAGTATTCTAGTGCCTTGTCTTTTGCAGATTGCCATTCCATTTTCCTCAACTCTTTGATGCCGTTATTATGTGGTTCTTTTTAGCCTTTACCATCGGTTCGAATGATGCTCTACTCCGGTCTATCGAAATGAAAAGGTTTTTAACGTTACTCTAGTGCGAATGCTTTAGCCCACATGTCAAATTGTGGCGTGGGAATCGAAAACATATTTTATGGTAGTTCAATCAAATATTTGTACACAGTTTAAAAATCCTTTCGTTCTGCAGCAAGTTTTTGAGCCCTTACATTTTCTCTAAATTCAACTTGCTTAATAAGGACACCTTACAATAAAAGGCACTTTGTATGACCCCTCAGGGTTTGTATTAACGTGGTTTGACTGTAATAAGAAACGTCAAAACAAATACTAAGACTAAAGCGAATAAGCTGAACTGGCTGAACACAGTTTTGGCAGTTTGTGAGTATATGACATTTGCCAAATCATGGCAGAAAGGTTGCAGCTCACAAGCTGAAACTTGGCAAGTGAAAGATATACTGATGATTCATGGCAACATGGACGGCTGAATACAACCTTAAATTTCACTGTTGCTCAGTTTACATAAAATTCGTTTAATAGATTTTCCTATAAACTTCGACACAGCTTACTATAATCAATCCTTACCATTTGAAACGTATCTGACCAAATTTTAACGGACGGGTTTTTAGATAATCAATAATATAATTGTACTGTAATTATTAAATGTGTCAAAAAAAAATCGTCTCTTCAACTTCCATTTTAAAGTTCTCATTTTAAAGTTCTCATTATTTAAAAGTAAAAATTCTTCCAAATATCACAAAATTTTAATGAATAGATTTCAAGAAATCGTATTCCGTGTATCTTTGCTATTTTCGCCGCCATGTTTGTTTGTCTAATTTAAAACACGCGCCGTCACGCGAGTTACCGCTGACCGCCCGCAAAACTGTGTTCAGCCAC